ATATATATATATATATATATATATAAGCAATATTAATGAGTATATATATATATATATATATACACACACACTATTTTCGAAATAGCACATATGACAATATACGTCATTTTTCAAAGTATCCTAAAATAAATATAAAATTTTGTATATAAAAATTATAATTTATTATAATTAACAATATTTTTAAATTAAGTTAAATTAACAATATCTTTCTTGATATTTTTAATTTTAGAATTCTTTGTTTGTTCTAGAATCAAATCAAATCCAAAATTGTTCCATAAATAAATTATATATTTTTTATATTTTTATATTTAATACATATTATTCGAATTTTTAAATCTTAACTTTTTTCGATTTTGTAACTTTCAATAAATGTTTCTTATAGATTTTAATATACTAAATATAAATCTTTTATTTTTTCTCTAGAATCTATTTTTTTAAAAAAATTAATTTTAAAAAAATTATATTCAACTTTGGAAATATTTTGTGCTTTTATTAATAGTTCAATTTTTTCTTGACATGAAATAATCCTAAGAAATTCTATTTTGAATAAAAATGACATAAATAATTATATATATTAGATGTTTATATAAAGATTATAAACATCAAATTTAAATTTAAATAATGATCAAAATTAAAAGAATATTAAAAATATATTTATAATCATTTTTCAATTTATTTTAAAAATTAAAACTTTAAGAAAAAATTTAATCACATTATAGAGCAGACTTTTTTGCTAAGAAAACCAATTAAATACAAATTTTTTTTTTCTTATATTTTTTTTTCAATATAGGAACGAAATAAATTAACAAAATGAATGACAACATGATACTCAATAAGCATCTCTTAACTATAATTTTGATATGTTGGAATAGTCATCGGTGTTTTTAACCTGAAATTATAGGAAATTATTATGCTTTGATAATGTTAGATAAAGATATAAGAATTTTTGTTATTAACATGATAGTTGCTCTATTTTTGATCGCATCTATCAAACTATTTCGCATTTATATTGAAAATAAAAATGATTTTATAATTTTTGGTATTTTTTTAACTTGTTTTATTATTTATAATTTTAATAATTTAAAATATTTATAATCTATTTAAATATTTATAATCTAATAATTAATTTAATTAATAACTAATTTAAATTTTTATTGGAAATAAGAAAAAAAATAAATCCAGAAAAATCACTTCGTGTTAAGAACAATTATTATTAAAACAAAGTTGAAAAATTTAATTGTAACATTTTTAAAATTGATTTTTTTCAAAAATCAATGTGGATTCTGGGAAAAAGCAAAACTTTGCTTTTTTACATAATATATTAAAAATTATAAAAAGCGCATATTAAAAGTTATTAGATGTTAAATTAATTATAATTAATTAGTTAAGTTTAATTATCTAATTAAATAATTAATTAAGATAAAATTTATTTTAAAAAATTTTTAAAATTAGTAAAACAATAAAAAACAATTGCATTATTTCTAAAAATTTTAGGTCCAAAATGGTGGCCAATTTTGGGCAGCGCCTTAGAATTCTCTCGTTTACGCAAAAAAAACCATTATTTGTTCAAAACTTTTTTCTGTTTTGAGCAAAAAATATGGACCAATAATTGGATTGAAAATTGGAGTAAATCATATTGTGGTGTTAAATGAATATAAGAGCATAAAATCGATGCTTTCTAATGAAGATTGTGATGGAAGACCGTTTGGTATATTATATGACAAAAGAACAGGCGGCATTAATAGAGGTAATATTCAATTTTAATTTCTAAATTTTTTTCTTAAAAAATTTGTTTAAAAAATTAGAAGTGACTATTTTGATAATTGTCTAAAAAATTGTCTAAAATTTCTTCACTAATTTTAGTGATTTTTGGATTTTCTAGAGGACAAAAATTTGAACAATTTTTTCTTATATATATAATTATTGCTCATTCTTATTTTTTGAGATATTTAAAAAAAGATTTATTATTATTATATAAAATTTTGTCTGTACAATAAATATATATATAAACATACGCTTATTTAGTATTTCTATACATGCAATTGGAATCCAAAATATATAATTCGAATGAATTGATCAAAAAATTATTTCTTCATAGTGGATTTAAAATATCTCAATTCAAATATTTTGCGAATTCGCAAATTATAAAAATAAAACATAAAATAATCTTTGGATGACTAAAACTATAATCATCTAAATTCCAAATATATCATTATTACATTTATTTAAGAGTTTATTATAATTTTAATCATTATAAATCGATAATTTTAATCCAAACTTAATTAGATATGGTTTAGATAAAATATTTTAAATCCATCATAATTTATGAGGAAATATATATAACTTCCTAATTAATCCATCTGTTATACATTTTGAATGAATAACAAGTCACTGTGGTTTATTTGTAGAAGCATTAAGTAAATTTTGATTGTATGCTTTTACTCATGAACGTATATATAAGAAATATTATTATGTAATATCTCAAAAACTAAAGTCAGATGGTGACTATCATTTACAATATACCAAAAAATTATCAAAATCAGTGAAGAAGTCTAATTTTTAGATAATTACCCTAATTTTCTCTTGAGTCATTATTTACTCATTCAATCACTTACTACTTCATTATTAACTATACACAATCGCTACTTACGATCTATCAATTTATCATTCTTTATTTTTTCATTTTTAATTTAAATATTGATAAAGTTATAGAAACGTTATCTTCTCTTCAATTTTAATAATTTTTAAATATTTTTTTGCTTTTATTAAAAATATATATTCTCTCCATAAAATTTAGAGGAGAAAAGAGAGAGAAGTGGATCCCAAATTTAAAATTCTATAATTAGCTTTAGATATTAATTTTCAAAATATTAATAAAAGCTTTCTAAAAATATATTGAATTCTATCTAAAAACAGTTGTCTTCAATATTAGTCATAATCATCAAGTGCCAAGTAGATAACATAATAACAATAATGGCTTAGTATATATGTATATATATATATGGTTTCTTAATATCCGTGACGTGATGATTGTCCTAACATATTATTTGTTATGACAGGAAAAATATATAGTTTAAAACTACTATTTTTCTTTATATAAATAAAGAACATTGAACTTAATTGAATATAAGTTAATTATTAATAATAAATTGTTATTAATATTACATCTATATGGAAATGTATACTAAAAAGAAATAACATCTTTTATGTCATTATTTTTTTTTGATACCATCTAAAATTAGGATAAAGTATAACATATACTCTAACTAAATGAGTTGAAATTTTAAAGAGAGGAAAAAGGGAAAAAACTCTGAATAATAATTCTTTTTTATTTTTTAATATATATATATTAAGAAATAAAAAAGAATTAAGAAATAATAGATCGCATCATGGATGATCCATTCATATTATTCAATTATTAATTCAATATTATATCAAATTTTTTATTGATATTTCGAAAATATTTAATAAATAATAAAGACTCAAAACTAAAATTTTTAGAGCTTTTTCCCTCTTCAAACTTTTAATTTGTTTGATCGTGAAATGTATATCATATTATAGCCTAATTAATTAACATGGAAGATATTAAAAATCAATATTATTGTTTAATTATCATTATATTAAATCATTTTTAATCATTTAATCATATATAATCTGTAATATATAATATAAAATCTAAATATATAATAAAATATAATATAATATAAAATAAAGTAAATATATAATATATATAATATAAAATATATAATATAAAACTTATTAGATATAACAACTATTATATTTTGCTCACATAATTTATTAAAAATCAAAAATTAAAAAATTTATTAGTCTCAATCTTTCCTATATATGTTCATAATGTATAACAAGCAAATACAGGATTTTGAAATTCAATATTTTTTGATCAGTAAAATTAAAATGAAAAAAATAATGATATAAATAATAGTCATTAATCATTGAAAAAGATATAATTCTAAAGATATTATTTAATAGTTTATTTTAAATTTAGTTATTATTTTTACTAATTTATTATAAAAAATATATGCATTAATAAATATGGAATAATAATAAATTCTTATACTAAATTGATACTGAAAATATTTTTTATCGATCGATTGAAATTAAAATAATCCATTTTATCCTATGTATTCTAGAATATATTGTGATTGCTTTACATTCAATGATATGACAACGTCTTGTCTGGTTGATTAATAATGTCTGTGTAATATAATTAATTATATCTATATAGGCAAAATTCAATGTACCGAAAGTTTTTTATTGATATTTTGGAAATTAATAAATAGTCGAAACTAAAATTTCGATTTAGAATACATTTTCTTTCTCTAAACTTTTCCAAATTTCATGTCAATCATAACCGTATACTTTTCCAAAGTACAACCGAAATATGTAAATCATTTTGAACAATATGTAGTAATTTTTCTTATATAGCCGACCTTTCTTATATATAGCCGTCAGCTTTAGTTTTCGAATTTCATATTTCATAAAATTTTATTTGTGCATGTATATATACATTCATTTACATTTATAGCATAAAAATACAACTGCTATTTATTAACTTATATAGAAATATATAAGCACATTAACTGGCATTCAACATGTATAATGGATGAATTAATATCACCACATTTAATATTGTGCGGAGTTTAGAAATTTGCTCTTGTAATGTACAATGTAGTAATGTAAAAAAATAATGTAAAAAAGATTTCTTACTCGATTTTCCTATCTCCATCTTTAACATTTTTGGCAATATTAATCATTCGTTTATATCTTTCTATTTTATTTAGTTTTGATATGTCGTTCTCTTTTCTTCATATATTAGATTAGTGGATAATCCTTTTCACCAATAGAAAAAATATATGTAACATAATATCACTTCGAGCTAGAATGGGGTTGGTCGTTTCGGCCAATTAGATCCATATTTCTTTAGAAGATCAAACTTCTGAATATCCAAGACGACATTCTTCACATCTATGGAATATATAAAATAAAATATAAATCAACTCTTCAAGTGACTAAAATTATAATTACCAATGTTATAATAATAAGTAATAAAGTTGCTGCTAATTAATTACTGTCATCATAACTTCGATACTTCCAATGAATTGTTTTATATTTCATTTTCGCATTCCACGGATTTTTTGAATCTCTATGAATCTCTTAAGCTCTCAATGGATAGATATTACTATGATGATACAAACTCGATTTTTTTATATATGTTTAATTATTGTTAATTATTGTTAACCAATTCATCAATCTATATTAAATTTGATATAATATTGATATTATCAACAATAATTATAAGATAAAGATTAAAAAAATTAAAGAAATAAAAATTTTCAAAAACTGTATGAAAAGAAATAAAGAGAAAGAAGGGAGGAAGAGAAGGAATTAATATAATCAAAATTTATAAAAATTAATTTTATTTTGCAATTATAGAAATTAATTTTAAGTTTTCTTTAACTGATTTCAAAAAGAAGGAGGAGAAAACCTCAAATAAACCTCAAATACTTTGAGAATAATATCTTCAGCAGTAACTCTCTATTATATCCTATGATCGAGGAAAATATCATTAAATAACAAACTTTATCGGATTAAAGGATTTAATAACTATTCATAATAATTTGATAGCTATTTTTTTGAACCATAAGATTAAGTCTCAAGAATTAATGACAAACTTTCAGTCTGAAAAAAATTTGAATTGAAATAACATAAACAAGATGATGACAGAATAATTATATTATTTGCAAATAAAGCAAGATGACCATTTGTTTAATATAAATATTGTTATATTTTATTATATTATTACATTTATATATATTTATATATATATATATATATATATTATATCATTACAATATATTATAATATAATATTATTTACAAATATTAGAAATAAAATAAGATAAAATTCTGGAGAATTATTGCCTAAGAAATATAAATAGTAGAAATAGACTTGTAATCATTAGCTGAGTTAATGAAGATAAATGAGATTAAATCTCATCTTATTCATTTTAAAAAGCAAGATTTTTTGTCAAGACGTCAAAGATTTATAAGATAAATTTATAAGGTATTTATAAGATAATAAAAAAAAATCGTTATTGTGACTCTCTTTATACATTTATCTGACAAGTGATCAATTATAAAATTCTTATATGTTGATATATAATAAAACCAAATTGCTAGTTAATGAGCAAATTTTTATTTACAAGACATTTTAAAATGGCAAGTAATGGTAAATAAATTTTCATACAGTTTACCAATGATTGTAAAAAAATTGATGGATTTACAATTCATATATTCGAAAACTAAAGTTAATTGTGACTTTTGTATAGGAAAAAGTTTAAAAGTTTAAAAGTTTAAAAAATCTATAACATTTCCCAACGTTATATCGAGATTTTAAAAAATCATTGAAACTAAAATGGAGGTAATTTTTCTTAAACTTCATCCAAATGTTTAATTTTATTTAATCAATTATATTTGTATTTCTTCGATTTTAAGGATTACTCCTTGTTGATGGAAATTTATGGGCTGAACAAAGAAGATTCGTATTAAAGCATCTCCGTGACTTTGGCTTTGGTCGACAAAATATGATGTCAATAATAATAGAGGAGAGTCAATCACTCGTTGAATATATCAAAAAATTAATCAATGATGAGCATAATATTCAAATTAACAAATCTAAAATATATTGCAATAATAACGAGTTTGATGATGGACAAATATATAAATTAATTAAAAAGAACCAAAAAGATGAGACAAAGTTAATAAACAATAATACAATCAATGAAAAAGAATTAAAAGCTTCAGATTTATACATGAATACTAATAAATATACAGGAAATAATATGGCTCAACCTGGGACAATAATTTCAATGCATAATATTTTTGGAATCACAGTGCTTAATTCATTATGGAAAATGCTAACTGGTAAAAGGTTGTTCGTTTTTTATTATTTTGATACATTATTATTTATTTCAATCTAAATTCATTAAAGAATCAAATAATTTTTTAATAGAATAACAAATTGTATATTTTTTTTGTATATATCAAATTCAGATACAATATTGATGACAAGGAATTAATTCATTTTCAACGGATTTTGTCAATAATTCTTAATGAAATTGACATGTTAGGCGCACCATTTAGTCATTTTCCTTTATTGAGATTCATCGCGCCAGAAATATCTGGATATAAATCATTTGTAAAAATTCATGAAGAACTTTGGAAATTTTTCAAAGTAAGCTATTGTAACTATTTATTTTAAATCAATTACATAAAACAAATTAAGTAATGTAATTATAGGATGAAGTGAATAATCATAAAAATACTTTTAATTCGGACTCACCTGGAAATTTAATAGATATATATCTAACTGTTTTGAATTCTGAAAATTATGGCAAAACATTTTCAGGTATCTAAACATTACAATATTTTAAAATTATGTTATGTCAGTTGTACCTATACTGAGATGTTTCAGAGCCTCAATTGGTAGCCATTTGCATGGATTTATTCATGGCAGGTTCAGAAACTACATCTAAAGCTCTTGGCTTTTGTTCTTGTATTTAGTTCTGTATCCACATGTCCAGAAGAAAGCACACGAAGAAATAGACAGAGTAATTGGACGCAATAAACTTCCAACTGCGGAAGACAAAGCAAAGTAAGTCAAAAAATTTGTAAATAGATTAATATTGTTAATTAATATCCTCTGCATACAATATTTATTTTATTTTAGAATGACATATATGAATGCTATTGTCTTAGAATCTTTAAGGATGTTTGCAGGCCGATCTTTGAATCTACCACATAGAGTACAGAGAGATACTACAATATCAGGTTACAAAATACCAAAAGTAAGTATCTAATAATGAAATATTGAATACAAAATAATTAAATTAAGAAATAATATAATTGACATTATTCTAGAATACAATAATTATGGCAAGTTTCAATGGAATATTAATGGATGAATCATGGAGTGATCCCGAAACCTTTCGACCAGAAAGATTCATAGACGAAAGTGGTAACATTGTTACACCATCTAGATTTCTTCCATTTAGTGCAGGTATATATGCTAATATAGAATAGAATCAATTTTATATAATTGGTTAATGTTTTAATATTGATATTTTATCATAGGAAAACATCGCTGTATGGGAGAAAATTTAGCAAAAACCACCATATTTGTTATAGTTACTACATTGTTACAAGCATTCACATTTTCTGAAATACCCGGAGAGAAACCAACGATAGAACATATTATTGATGGAGCTACTATTAGTCCTAAGCCATATAGAGTAATTGTTTCGTTAAGAATATAATTATCTTCACAGAATTGTGAGAATGTGTATGTAATTGTTATAAAAGAATAATTAATTTTTAATTGATTTAATCTGTATGTAGTATGCGTAATTATTATTAAAAAATTATTATAATTTCTTAATAATACAATACTTACAGTTCTATTTAAAATTATTTTAATGTTCAAAAAAATATATTTTATTTTTTATGAAAATACATATACAGGTATATATTTATATGTGTATGTATATTTATATATATGTGTATATATATATATATATAAGAAGCTATATGAAATAAATAATACATATATGAAAACAGTATAAATTTTATATCTGAATCTCTAGATTTTAATATTATATCTTCAATAATATATTACAGAAGGTATATTAATTGCACATAATTACACATATTACAAATGTATATATTTTTCAATATATTTTTTTTCTTTTACGAAAAGACAAATAATTTATTTGTTGATATTTCTTAAAATAGTCTGGCACTTATATTTATCGCCATATTACGTAATTGAAATTGTTATTCATATTAATTACCTTGTGCAAGAGATTATCATAAAAAAAACTTATAAAAATACATAAAATTATAAGTGGTGTCTTTTAATAAATGAAATAACACATATTGACTATGCAGGTACGGTTTCGATTAGAAATTGGTAAAATTGGTCAAATATTTGATAAATTGCTCTAAAACTGATTTAAAAAAAAAAATAACATTTTTTACTAATAAAAAACCTAATTTATATTGTTATATTATACAATAATAAGATTCTTTTAAAGATAAAATTTTTTTATATTTAGTTTATGATTAGATCAAAATTATATTTGATAAAAATGTATAAGTGATATTTTATGATGGACGGCGAAAAATAATTTTTAATTTATAATCTATCAAAACACAATGACATAAAAATAAAACTAAAAATAATTTAATAATTAACTTATACATATCTTTTTTTATCCCTGTGAATAATGCCGAAAAAATTTTCGAAATATTTTTTCTGAAGGTCAACTAGGATGATCTTCAACTATGTGAATCTGTTAAACAAAAAAAAATAAAAAAAAAATAAAAAATAAATAAATAAATATAAAAATCTATTTAAATTTTATTTATAATATCTTTTAAAAATATTTTTTATATAAACATTACCTCAGATAAAATGGCCCAATTTTCACTTTCACTGTGTACAGTTAAACGAAGTATTGATACTTTTCCTAACTTTGGATCTACTGTTCCTTGAGCAATTCCAAGTGCATCAAATTTCCCTAATTTCATGATAAAAAATTTATTAATTCATTGCAAAATCATATATTCATATGATATAATTATATACCTATAATAATATAACCATCCTCAGTAATATCATTACTATTTCTATTCATGAATGCAGATATTTTTGTAAATACTTCTACTGTAGTATTATAAAACCTATCAGATGGATGTTCAGGATTGCCGCTTCTGAATAAGTACCTATATTATAAAAATTGTATATAATAATATTACAATTATTTATTATTTAAAATATCATATATGTTTAAAATACCTTTTTATAAAAATAGGATGAGAAAATTTAAATTTTAAATGGTCTCCAGGTTGTGGCAAAAGACCCCAAAAAAAATGATTCACCTTTATAGGCCTTTTGTAATGTATATTGCTTGTATGGTTTGATTTGTGTTTCTGCTATTGCTTCTGGATTTTCGTGTGCATAATATAATGTTATTTTTCCAAATTGTTTATCCTAAACATAATATTATAGTTATAAAATATATAAGAATACAAAAATAATTATTTTCTTTTTTTATTATACCTTTAATTTTTGTACTTTTCCTTTTAATGAAGAATGTGTTCCTATATGTTGAAAAAGAGAAGGTTTATAATGAACCCATAATTCTGCTTTAGCCATTTTACAATGTTTCTGAAATATATATAATATTTATAAACATAAATATATAAAATGTTTATTAAAATGCATTTCTATTTAATTCATTATTAAGTATAATATACTTACACTATCTTTATCAAGACTACAAACTTTAGTTGATACTAAATGATCTAATAACCAATCAACTGGTTTATCATTATGAAACATTAAAAAAAATTGAATTAACCATGGCAATTCTGCGCATTTAAATAATTTTCCTAAAAAGAAAAATCATAAATATAAAATAAATTCAGAAATATTTTTAATAATTAACTTATTAACAGCATACCAATAAATCCCAATTGACAAAAATCCAAAACAAACCAATTTTCTTTAGTTGCAATTTTTTGTAATGCAAAAGATTTCATTGTTGTTATAAAATTTTTTTTGGCTAATATATCATCTTCTAATTGTACATAAAATGTTCCTTTTGTCTGAGCATATGACATAAGAAATGCAAAATCTAAATTTTGCTTTGATCTCCAAATTACTCTTTGATGATCATCGCCTAAAGTATCACGTAATTTAGATAAATCTGGATAATAAGATATAGATGGAGATATTACATCAATTACACCAGCCTCAAATTCAACTGGAAATCTACACGAAAAATAAATAAAATAAATACATGAAGAAATAACTGAATACAATTAATTCTTTAAATATAACTTACTGGACTTCAATTTGTTTTGCAACATATGTTACATATTCCAAATCTGTCTGTAAAAATATATAAAAATAATATATAGATAAAAATACAAAATTTTAAGATTGCTTTTTTAATATTTAATATAAATATTACCAAATATTCATTTATACAAATTTTTTTATTCAACTGAAAAGAATAAGATATCTCATAGAATTTAATAAAGCATAGAATTTAATAAAAAGATATTTTTACAATAATTATAATTTTTACAATTTTAATATAAAGAAGTATGTTATATAATATTTATATAAATATTTATTCTGTATTTAAAAATAGAAAAAATTTCATACTTTTTAATTTGATATGAAAACGTATATTGAGATCAATTTAAAAATCAATCATATAAATTTATTAAATATAATAAAAAATTATAAATAGTTAGAATTACTATTAGTTAGAATCCAAAAATTAAGTTTGTTATTTATTAAATTCTATATAACTTTATCAACCAGCGATATCGATTAACTATAATAACTATAATAACATTGTTTGGATATTAAACAATAAACAAATATTCTTATCTCCCTTATTATCTTTCTTTATAATTCAAATTTATCACTATGTTTCTGATCTGTCAAGTAACTTCAACAAGTGCTTTTAAAACATTAAAAAATCTATATAATATCCTGATACAAAAAACAATATTTAAATTTATAAATATATATTTTATATTTTGAAAATAATATCATTATATATTTTATTTAGTATTATGATAGTAATTTCAACATTGTAGATATTTAATTTATAAATATATCTTCATTAAAATATTAATATTATTTGTATATTTAGAAAAATTTAATCAAAAATTAAATAATAATACATAGCAGCATTATAAAAATATATAGTATAGCTTATATCAAATAACTGTTATAAAAATATTTTTTGTTCCTCTTCAACTTCAGTCTTATAGTATACTATAATGTAGTGTTAAACAAAGCAACCTATAGATACTTACTTCAGCAATTAACACAATAATTAAAGTATCTGCTGTTTCCACAGGATTCATACGATCCAATAAATTCTTAAGTGTGGCCATTAAATAACTCTGTATTTCTCTTTTAACTGTTGGAACACCTAGGACCATACTAACTCCACTACGGCCTTTAGTCTGTACAAATGCTGGTCGTAGACTATTAGGATCATTTAAAAAATGAGGAAGAAAATTATATATTGATGGTAATTTTATATTGGTCACATTTGATGTAGTATTGTTAAGTAGAAATTGAAGATCTGGCAAAATGTGATTGTTTTCTATTAATTGCAATAATTGATGTGACAACAAATTTATTTCTTCTTGACTTGTAACATATTTAGCATGTAAATGTTCCAATTTAGCTTGTAATTCTGCAATACTATTTTGCAAAACTGTTTCTTCATGCAACTCTGATGGTGATAAAAGATTTAGAATGGCGCATGGTACTAATACTATTGAAAGTATGATTAAACATCTTCTTCTTATAGGTGTCAGAGCTACAAAATGAGGCATCATCTTCTTTATACTAAATTCTACATGATTATAGTCATAATCTTGTGGAATAAAAACAAATTCTCAATGATCACATTATAAGTTCACAGCATAGGAAACCTAAAATACATTGATATCTATAATATTATAAATAAATAAATAAATATTAAAACAAAATATTAATAAGTAAAATTATAAAAATTTAAATAATATTACAAATTAAAATAATATAAAGTTTCATAAAATGTAAAATATTTATATATGATTTATATAATATTTATATATTTATATATATGAAAAATTAAAAATTATATGATAATTGTAATTTTATTATCTTCAGAAATTATGTATAAAAAATAATTAAATAATTAAATAACTAAATTACGTATAAAAAAATAAAAATTATTTACAAATATAATAGGAATATTTTAATATTATTTTAGAAATATAGATTAAAAAAAATATCATTTTATTGTATTAAAATAGTAGGAAGGAAAAAAAGTCATGATAGGAATATATTTACTATGCCTTTTAGTGTTTTGTTCTTTAGAATTAATATTTACCATAAAATATTATATAGTCTTGAATTCTTTCCTTCGGAAAATAATAAAGCAAAACTTATAAGATTTTCTAAATTTAAAGAATATCATTATTGATTATAAAGTATACATTTTAAACCGGTGATTTCTTTCGATGAAAATTAGAATTATTTTTTTTTGATCGATAATAACATTTCAATCTGTGAGATTAACTTTTTTTAAATGTTTTATTTTATATTAAAGATCTGATTATTTTATTTTTCAATTAATGCCTAATAATTTTATTAAAATTCTTTTGCTCGAAATTACTAAGAGATTAAAATTTTAGTTGATCGTTTCGATTTGATTCGTTCTGATACATTTTACTACTAACGCGTCATTCGATTTTTTCATTTTCTTTCTGACATAGACATATCACGTGTTTTTATATTAAGATCGTGTAAATTATTATGATATATTATTACATTGATTCCACGTATAATATTATAGTATAACCTATTTTACTAATAAATTAAAGGATAACAGCACTAATAATAGTGATATCTAAAAATTTTTAATAAAACAATAAAATGAATAGATTAAAAAAATATCTTTATATAACATGTTTTTAACTAATAAAAATAAAATAAACTTAATTGAAAATTATATATATATATATATATATATATATATATATATATATATATATA